ATGTGTGTGTGTGTGTGTATATATGTGTATATAAATATATACACATATATATACATACATACATATATATACGCGGCGTGTGCTTGTGCTTTAGGGTGCACACCCTAATGCAATAGGCTGCGCATGCCTATGTAGTTATACCAAAAGAGCAAGGGGTACATCGGTAGATCACATCTGCAACAGAACCATTACAGATTCCTTGTTGTATCAATGTTTATGTTTACAGGAGTTCTTTGCTTTGCAGGTATGTACATAATATGTAGCATTTAAGAAAAGCTGCAAATTGTGCTTTAGTACAAGTGTGCCATGATGTCAGGTTTCTGACAGGTTTTGCTGTTTTTTGGTTTTTTTCCCATTCTCTTGGCAGGCTCTTAGTAAGCCTGTGTTGTTATTATTTATTAATTGCATCAAGGTTTCTTTCGTTAATTGATGTGTTTCTGCCGAATTCAAATTCATATGCCACCAAATGTCATTGTAAAGTTCATTGTTACAGAATATTGTTCCAGGATGGTTTTCCACTCGAGTAGGAAATCTATATTCCTCTTCTTCTGCTCCTTCCTATTAACCACTTTTTCTGAGTTGTAGGCTACAATCTGTGTCTTGAACTGTGAGGTGATTTGATAGTCAATCAGGTTTTCTCAGTACCATGTTCCATCCTGAGAAATAGCTGGGTGTTGACAGTTATCAGCCTTTATTTCTTTTTCCGGTCATCTTCTGTCTGGAAACATAATAGCAATGTCCAGAATTAGCATAGCACTTCTTTTCAGCATAAGAAGGCTGTTTGCGGTAGTCACTCAATGATAAACTATATGGCAAAGTATTTTCTTAATCACCTTCATAGGTGCATCCAAAGTCTTTCACAAGCATCTGTCTCGTCTTTTTCTGTTTTCAGCATGCTTTGCCATCATCGTTGAGTCCATTATTAGGATTTGAATTAGTTCAATCACATCTTTCTCATGTATAATCGGTTTTTGGAATGATCTTCAATCGGTTCCTTGTGAAATACCAGTGTAGGCAATCATTTCACTGTGAGCTGTGTCTCTCCTTATGAGATAGTTTTTGGAGGTAGTCCTCACGATCAAAGAACTTGTATAGTGTGCAGTCCAATTCAGTTCAGGTGCTTCCTGCATGTTAACATAATTCCAATGCAGTTTTAAAACGACAGCTACGGTTGATGTTATGATAATGCTGCAGACTGTAAGAAGGAGACACCATAACCAATTTTCTAGCATCCTTTTGCTTCCATCTTTGCATTTCTTTCTTACTGTGTAAGATAATTCAGGTTCAGTCTGTTTTCTCTAGAGTCTTTCTTATAATGATGTTGATAATTCATTTTTCATATATTCCATGTTAACTGTGAATGTATCACGTCTGTTTGTTCATCCTTCTCCTTCACATTTGCAGGTTCAGATGTCAGATCATGATTCAGTCTGTTACGTGGCTATGATTCTGGTGGTATTTCTGTCGTCCTCTGTTTGATTTATCTTGTCATCTTTAACAGCATTCACTGTGTCAGTCAGTGGTTCTGTGAACGTCTTGGAAGTATTTAGCAGGTTGTAAAATATCAAAACTTACTGTTCTCTGTTGGCTCTGATTGTTCTCTGTAGTAAAAGTTCTCGGAGTCACCCTCTCCAGGACAAACTGGCCAACAGTAAGAAAAAGTTGGTGGTGCATGGCGAGGTGGGCTGGAAAAAAAAATTCCCTAAATTTCTCTAATAGAACCAATGGTTCTAAGCTCTCCCTGGTGCAGAAATATGATTGTCAGTGAAAAAACATGTAACATTTCATATGGTGTCTCACCATTTGTATCATCAGGTATGTTGTGAATGCTCATCTGTACCATAGGAATAAATAGATACCACTGTGTGGGGCAAGCAACTAGTAACTTATCATTTAACCTCAGCATTTTCCCAGACCACAACCCTACTACTTTGGGGGTGGTTGGCGCACTGAAATCCCAAAGTAACCCAAATGTGGTTGGCCAGTTTTAGGTTTCCTTTGTAGTAACTGCAGGACCACCATCCAAATGAATGGTCCAGGGATTATCAAATGCATACTAAGGAAGTGAGACTAGAAAGCGTGGCATCAGAGGTTGCACTTCGCACAGGATATATCCAAGTAAAACTGGTACATGCATCAACACATACAAAAACGTATTTATAACCATGAGATGTTGGCAATCTTCCAATATATATAGTAATTTCCCAAAAAAGTATGTTAGATATGAATATTTCAATAAACAGTACATCAGTAATGTGGCAATAAGCAAATGCTTATGATTACTAAATACATGAATTACAGTATTTGCCATATTGGGCCACCAATATTCCTTTTCAGGAGTCAGAAGTACATTACCTCTCTCTATAAGAGCTTGTCCTAGCCATGAAAAGGTTTTAGAGCAAGTCTATCTTTCCTCTATAGGAAGAACAACCAACATATTACGTTCAATGGTTATTATGTAATTAACCCCTGTAAACGATAGGAGTATTTATGCGGATACCAGGTGGATAAGGTCTGGATATCCTTGCGAGCATAAACTCTGCATCATGACTGAGAGATAGGGTATACTTTTGTGATCCAATGACCACGGAAAAGCGTTGGTAGACACATTGCATCAAAGTGTCTGTTAATGACCAACTACATGAGGAGAGGGCCCATGCTTTGTTATAAGCATGTCCATACACGTATTACAATGCCAGGCTTTCAATTTGTTACCACAAAGCAAAATGCAGTTGTGGATATAAACTCACGGCGTATCGTAAGAAAAACTGTTTGAACACCAGACTGAGACTCGAGATCAGTGGACACTGGACCAAAATAGATAAATTAAATCTTATCAATTAATATACTTTCAATATATTTTCTTTAAATTACTTTATCCTTTGTATTAACTATGAAATATTAAAGTTAAAACAATAACATTTAAAAGCCAACTTTTAGTGTGCATAGGAATTACAAGGCTGTTCATAATGTGAGATAAAGAACAGCTTTTTTTAAAAACCGAATAGTCTGTGAACACAAAATGACCTTGCGCTGAAAATTCAATTGCAGGAAAAAAAAACAAAAAACTTATTTTCTTATTTTTTTCTTTAGTGAATTAATTAATGAATTAATTAATTAAACATAGTTAGAACCTCCCTCAAAGTCCCGATTACTTTGCAAGAAACATGTTGTCCTTAAATACTGGGTAAGTCTATTAAACAGTGAAATAGCATTTTTACCCTGTATATCATGTTGTCACAGCTATAATGTGCAGTATAACAAAATATTTTATAAGTGTTGTGCCAACTGTTCAATAAAAGCCAGTGGTCTAGCGAGCTATAGAACATTTATTTATTCTTTAAAGCTCTGACCTCAATCGGCAAAGCAATATTGTAATGGTGTCCATTGCAATCTGCTGTCTATACTTGCTGCTCTTAAATTTCTGAATATGTTCAGAGATTTCTTGGGCAATAATAAATCCCCAAAAACAACAACTTTGCATTTATGCTAAACCTGCCTGTTGTAAATGTATTCTGTATATTTCTTGTCATAAGTACTTGTACTTAAATCTGTTTAACAAAGCTGTTTATATTGTGGTGAAAAATATATATTTTTATTATTTATTTATTTTTAACATTGCCTATGTTTTTAAAGATACCTGCATATTTAATTAAATATCCTTTATATGTCTTTAAGGCATAAAATATCTGCAAATTAAGATTATATACAAAAATGCATGCTCTGGATGTTCCCACAATACCTCTTCTATTTTATTATTATTATTATTTTATTTTTTTTAAGTCTGGAATCAGATTCCTTTTGGGATGAGCACCCCTCTCAGCCCCCCCAGTTTCAGAGGCTTCTTTGGAGGTGACCACAGAAAAGTATAGATTCTATAAAATAGATATGAGGGGGCTTTGGACAGTAATGTCACTTTAATTATACTTTTCATATAGCAGATATGTGATATGCAATGGGATTTACTATATCAGAGCATTATTACTTTAATTGACACTGCATTTATTTATGCATTATTCTTTATGCATTATTATTTTTCTTTTTTTCTTAAATTTTAATGTCTGTTTAGAATATTGCAGGCTTTGCAATATCAAATTAATTTTGCATTATTATGTTTACAATGCTCTTACAACATATAATTAAAATTAGCCTATTTCAGAATTGTAGAATATGTGGTGGAACTGAATCCCCATATATGAGATTTGAAACTGTATGTTTATTTCTACTCTTTGCCCTAATCTGTATTTATATACATAATTGCAGCAGCATATAGCTTTTAAAGAAGCAATTATTTCACCCATCATGTGTGGTTGATTGTGGACTTTTTAAAAACCTATTTATTTTTTTTTAAAAATGTATAAATCCGTTTCTGGCTCTGAGAGAGCAGGCTGCTGAATTGCATGTAAATGTTCTTATTGCCTACTCTATATACATTTATTTATAAACAACATTGATATATTTATATATAAACAACATTGATATTTAATCTTATTTTATGTTATTTTATGAAAACCTAGTTTATGAAATTCACTGAGATTACATGTGTCTGATCTGATTACAGTCAGTAGTACAATATCATTGTTCTAATTTCCTTACTGCTAGCACTACAGGTACAGTGGGATAGTACCACTGATTTAAGTAAGCTTTCCCTTTTAAAATTGGTGGAGTAAGCAAAGTCATTATGTGCAGAATTGTCTACTTTAAATAGTAGAATACTTATGCAATTTTAGCGAATTGGGCTGGCTGCTTAACACATCATTTAGTATCTTTTGGTCACATTTAAAGCTGTAAATGTATTTAACATTTTATTTAAATAAGCCTTTAATAATTTCAGTTTAAAAGTTATCAGAGGGGGCGGAGCCTGGGACTGTACCCGACCAGACGCCATCTCTGTCGGCTCCTGCCTGTAATAAGCGTTAACCGCAAAAAATCGAAAACAAATCGAAACACGACCACCCCACAACCACTCACCGACTCGGGGCACCGGGGGAAACAGGCGGATGCCCTTCTTCCAGCCCCCAAAGACCGGGAAGGCCAAGCGCAAAATCAAGGCCTACTATCAGCCGACTCTCCGCTCCCTGGAGACACTCCTGAGAGACTACCGGGGATATTGCGACACGAGAGCCGAGGGGGAGAGCATCGCAGCAACCGCGGAAACCCCTATGACCATGAAATGCCGCACGCAGAAAGGCCAGCAGAACTCACCGGCAGAGCAGCGCGATGTCGGGGAGATGCTGCGACGCCAGACACAACCCAAGATGGCCGCGGAAGAGGCCCCCTCCGCACCCATGCGGCCTGTACAGCCAGCCCAAGCTCCGGCAACGCAAACAGAGGGGTCATTAAGTAAAACACTCCCAGCCCTCACAGAAATAGGGGAACACAATTTAGCCACCAAACAAGACCTCCAACGCTGGATGCACAAGCTCCAAGACCTAATAGCCAAAGATATAGGCACTATAAAAGCGGACGTGCGCCAAAATACGGACAGAGTACACGCAGTGGAGGAGAGTGTATCGACAATAGGCAACGAGATAACTCACATTAAAGAAACGTTATACACAATGCTAGCCGTGCAGGTCTCCACCCAAGGGGACCACCTGCGCCGCAATCACATCAAGCTCCGAGGGGTGCCCGCGGCAATCACACAGGCCGAACAGCCTCATTTTCTAAGGAGGCTCCTGGCCACAATCCTGCCACCAGCAGCTGCCCGAAAAATCACACTGGAGTGCTCATATCGACTGCCGGCAGGGCCCAACTCACCACCGACAGAAGCACGAGACATCATCCTATGCTGTGCCACGACACAGGATAGAATCACTATAATGAATGCGGTGAAAGGAAAGACACCCCTGGCATTCGAGAATGCACAACTGCTCTTCTTCCAAGACCTGACAAGAGCAACACTGCAATGGCGAAAAACGATGTACAACCTCACCAGCCGCCTGAGACAAGTGGGAATACAATACCGCTGGGGGGCACCTAGGGTCATAAAGTTCACCCACAAAGGCAGCACATATAGAGCCACGTCGGAGACTGAAATCCCTGCAATTTTAACCTCACTGGGACTCATGGACTTACACAAGAACGGAGCCACGAATACCTCGTCCCCAATGGGAGATCCTGCCACAACAAACTCATTCACACCTCTATCCCAGAGAAGCACAAATACAAATTCTTGACGGGAACTGTACTACTCTGCTGGTTACAGCAGACACAGCTCCATTCGATTTGGAAATAGAAGGAGGACGCTGATATGTTCTCTATGATAGATGATACATATGTTTCTTTAATGTTTTTTTACATGCCTTTATTTGTTTCTGCTGATGCAGGCTCGCATACTTTTAAAGCACGGTCGGGTTCACCAGCCAACACATGGCCCACTCCACGACAATCCCCTCCCCCCCCCCCGCTGCCCCCGTGTTAGGGGCACTCACAATCACGCAACAGAACCCCAGCATACCATGACAAGTATGTTTTTATTTTATTTTTACACACCGCAGCGACCCTTAGCTCTCTAAAGGCACATATAGGCAAAAGCCGTCCCCCTCGCAACACACACCACAACAGCCAAGCGTAACCACGCAACACACCAGGAGGCACAAACCAGCCAAGGGATGACATAACAGCGCAAGCAACAACTCGGAAAAACAGAAGGGTAGCGCACGCTGAAACCCGTACCAAGACTGTAATGCAACTTGTTTAAAAAATTACAAAAAATGTGTGCAAACCAAGTGACAAGTTAAACAACCAGTCCTATACTGTATACTGTATACTATACCTAATTTCTGTCATTGTCATTGCAATGTTGACATGCACCTTTAAAATAAAGAATTTTTAAAAAAAAGGTATCAGAGATCCTGTAAAGTTACAATTTTATTTTCGCCCTGATTTATCCTACATATATATTATTTTATAAATATTTATTTTTGCAGAGCATTTAGAGAAGCAAAGGATGTATAACCACCTGTTGCCACCCCGTATGACCGATGGGAATGTTTGCCACAGTGCAGCCACTAGAGGGCATGGCTGTGGTAAGCCATTCAAGGCATCTCTCAGTCAACAAGGTCTGGTCTTGTCTCAGGTGCCACTCAGAGGTGTCTCTGTCGCCCAATAAAAGTGTAACATAGCATCAACAGTGCAATTATTAACCAACTTGTGTCCCGCATCTCCCCAGCCACGCGGTCGCCTCGACCCTCACTCCCCCACTTTTAATTTGTGCGTAAGAGTGGCAGTAGGGGACACCAGGATTACCCGGGGTGCTGTGGGCACGCAGCTTCTTTCTGCCCCCGCAGCAGTAGTCAGCCATCATAGCCCCCCGTGTCCACGGACCCCTTTGTGTGTGGCCAGTAGCTGTTCCCCACGGCTGGGCCAGGTGTGTCCATGGACTCTTGAGTTGCACTTGCAATGGAAGTCTCCCCAGGTCGTCCACCAGGCCCCCGAGACCTCCGTCCCACCAAAGTCTGAGGGAATGAAGAAGCATCTGCCAGCTCCTGGTGGTGTTGCCAGGCTTACCCCCATGTCTCGCCTCCCACCCAATCTTGGGATCCCTTCAGACCATAAGCAGTCCGGGCTAGTGGGGAAAATAGTGGGGAGCAGGGGTGCACAGTACATACCCGACCAGGGACCGTCATAATGTCTGCATGGTTCCAGACAAGAGGTAAGTCTCACGAGTGGCTGCCAGTCGTGCATGCTGGGGGTTAGCCCCGGCGGCTGGGGGAGTGATGATGGTCCACTATATGGTCAGGCCGGAGGGACGTGCCGGAGGGTAATCCAGGATCCAATTCGGGGTTGCAATGGGTTGCAAGCCCGCTGCCAATACGAAGCAGGGGACATCATTAGGCCAACGTACCATGTGCCAGTGGTTGTATACTTGCAAGCTGAATGGAAAGCCTAATTTGTATGGTATCCTCCTTTCCTGCAACAGGCTGGTGAGCGGTTTCAGTGATCGGCGGGCATCTAGGGTGAGGGTAGATAGGTCCTAATAAAGTAATACCTTCGAGTCCATGTACCTGATGGTTCTTTGCATTCTAGCCACCCTCATTATTGTTTCCTTAAGCTGGAATGACAGCAGGCAACAGATCAAGTCCCCACGCTGGCCATCTCTTCTTGGGCCTCTGAGAGCCCGGTGGGTTCGCTCAGTACTAAACTCTGGTGGGGCCTCCAGTCCAAGCAACTGTGCAAACAGGCCTAATAAGAGCTCTTGGGGAGATTCCCCCTCTAGTTCTGGCATGCCCCTGACGCGGATATTATTGCGTCAGCCTCTGTTGTCCAAGTTTTCCACTTGGCGTTGGAGGTCAAGGATGATGTTCACTTGCCTCAATGTGGCCAGTTTCGAGGCCTGCCGAAGTTGGGATGTTTGCAGCCGGTTTACTTCTAGGTCATCAACCCACTGCTCGAGTGCTGAGAGGTCCCTGCTGAGCGGCGTGATCTCCTTGCGGATGACAGAGCGGAGTTCAGCCACCATTTCAGACTTGTCCCTGCAAGTAAGTATATTTGCGAAAATAACCGCCATCTGTGAGAGAGTTTCCCCTTATGTGGAACCCTGAGTGGATTCCGCCATGCTTTCTGAGCCGGGAGAGGAGGGCGCCATCTTCTCAGGGCCTCAGGAGCTTTGGAGGCCATGCGGTGTGGACAGGAACTCGTCCATGGGACCGGGCTGTTGGCCCACGGGGGCTACATGAGCAGGTCTGAGGGTGGCTGCCCATTTCGTCTTCACCATTAATGCGGCGAAAAGCGCTATTTTTAAAGACTTGTGCGGGTTGGGGCCTAGCAGCTTGTGCAGCGTGCGTCCTACTCCATAGGTAGCCAAGCCACGCCCCTCCAACTTTTGACTATTTTAGCTTACATTTTGTCATTCGGGCTGTAAGGCTTCTTTCAGCACTGGTGATGAACCAATCAAGTCACCATTCATTGGCTGAGAGAGTCAACTGACTGCACTGTGCATGCAATTGACATTAGCCAACTTGGAACTCTTGTGTACTGTAAATAAGTGTAATGGCGGTAAAGAGATTCTACCAGTTCTGAAGATAATGCCACATGACACATATGATTGTACCCTGATTATATTACAATGGTACCCCAACCAAAAAAACAGTGTTTAAGAAAACATTGTTTTTGATCGGCGTAACCCATTCTATCCTGTTCACCTGCCCTTCCCCCCAAACCATAATCAAGTGCCGAGACCAAGTTCTCCATGCAGCCCGATCCTTTCCAATAGCATAGCAGGCAGTTACACCAAAGGGAATTCAGTAGCACTTTGTTCTGGTACCTTATCACCCTCCCAAAACTTGTTTGTGGGTATCAATAAATTATTATGCATTAGACAGGAACAAATACGGTTTCACTGTTGACTATGACAGACTTTAGCTTTTGCAACCTAGACAACAACTATGTAAGTTTGTAAACAGCAACTATAACAATACAAAACAATATCTAACAGGCATAAAACAATACAGAAACAGCGAGAGGGGTTAGAATGTCTGTGTAATCTAGCCCTGTTGCTGTGGAAGTGGGTGAAAAGCCTTTCTCCACCGCCTTATATACCTGTACCGGATACGTCTAAATCATTGTAGCAATTTAAATTGTACTTTAAAAGGATGTCTTCACAGCCACTTGTAAAAGCAAAAATAGGGACTTTTAAAATGGAATCCATATACTCCAATGTCTCACACAGTGCCCGGTGCAAGCCGAACCAATCTCTGAATTCCCACAGTGTCTGCGTTTCGTAATTAACTTTACCTTATCAAGACTGAGCTGGTGTTATTTTAGTTTGTGCTACATGTTGCAGCGAAAGGTTGGTTTGTCATGAATGGCATAGTTTGCATTGTTTTGCACCTTGAATGAACCAATCATCAATGTGATAGCGGTATATTCACTACAAATCCAGACACAGTCATGTTTCTGCTTTTGTATGGGTCCAAGGGAACCTATTGTATTAGTTAAGTAAAGCTTTTTTAAAGAATGTTCCTAAAAGAAAGGGGGGAGATATAGTGTCCCACACAGCCTCCATGGGCCCCCGATGGGTGGAGCTGTGAGGGACACTATGTCCTCCCCCTTTAATATTATTATTAGTGCCCCGCTGCCAATGAGAGGGTGCCAGGGGGATCACAAGGTTCTCCCCTTTTATTATAATAGCCTCTGGTAAAAAAAAAACATGGGGGTCTTATACACGTAATTATGCCTTCACGCTGTTGTGGGTTTTTAACTATTTGCCCGCTGGGTGCCAGCTTTTCTAAGTCCAAATTCGCATTTGAATCATCCAGTACTAAATTTGAAGCACCCAGACCAAATTTAGGCCTAAATTGCAAAATCCACACATGAACAATGTCCGGATTTTGCAGTCCATTTAGCTTGCATGGAGCACGGCTTCCTTACTTTACATCTTTACTTTATGATAAAGGTGTAGAGTTGCTTCTCCTCCCCATCACACCAGGGAGCACACAGTCAGGCTCTGTAACCCCTGCAGTGCCAGAAATTACTGCGGCTTTTTACTTCGCACGTCTTGGAAAGCCTACAGTAGGATGAATAATTAAAGATGACTTACCAGTAGCTCGTAACATATTCATCTATTTCAAAAAGGATGAAGACATCAAGCAGATGCTGAAGAAAGTCCTGAGGGCATTTAGGTAAAATATCTATTAATAGAGCATATACTTTATTGTAAAATCGTTTTATTACTGTTCGGTCGGTTGAATGATTTTAACCCTTTTAGTGGTTCAACAATGGTCAAGTCCTGGCTTTCAATTTCCTGAGGCCCTCTGAGGCATCTTTTATTGCGTTCATTCTTTATTTTAAATTATCTAGATTCTGATGTGTCTCATCCATTGTCTGCTTCAGTTGTCTGAAGGCTCGGTCATGTAGTGATACGGCGTTACGGAATTCAAGCAACCAACCTTTCGCCTAAAATATGGGGCGAATTGCAATTCGGATACCAAACGCACAAGTCAAGTGAGTAAATAGCAACACTTAGGGAATTATTCACTAAAATCAGGAATTATTCTAAAAAGAAACTGCATATTTTATGTAAAAATAACCTGATTGTAAATGTTTTACATTTCTAACTTAGCCTAAAATTGCAATTCTATTATAGTTTCTTTCAAATTCCTAATTTACTGAATAAGCCTCAGCCTTCATCAGATTTATCTTCATTATAATTAAAAATAAACTTCCGAGTCATAAA